CCAACGAATGGTTGCGCTCAAACACGATGAGCTGGTGGCCACCGAAGAGTACAGCATTGATGCCATTGCCAACAAGGTCGCCAGGTGGAACCTCGAAAGGAACAAACGTGGAACAGATCGGGTTGAAGCTCAAAGCGCAGCCGCAGTGTCGGAGAGCCACACCTACCCCATGAGTGACTTCAAATCATGTAAGAAGCCGCCTCGACCCTGTAGACATTGCGGGAGTGCCCTGCATTGGGACAATGATTGTCCACCTCGTAAGGCGGTGTAGGAGAAATAATATTCAAAGAATAAAACAATGATCTATCAGAATAGTCAACGAGCAGGTGACAAGTTCAGACGTTTAACAGATCTCATGATCTTTATGAGACTGGACAGACATATAAATTATCTACACCCATGTAGCATGAGATTTAATCTACTACAATCATGCCTAGAACTTGGCATAGGTGTAATATTCAAAGAATATATCCCTACAACAAGAAAATAGCACATAGACGGCAGAATAAGAAGGAACATTGGGAAAGAAATGTAAATATCTCGGGAACCCGTAAACCTTTGACTGTAATCTTTTTACCATCTGAAAGGACTGTTTCTTAACTTTATCCACGGTTTTGTTTCATTCTAAAAGCTTCAAAACTGACGGAGATATTGCTCAAACGGCGAAACACCTTATAATTCATATATATTTATTTGCTAATTCTTACAAAAAGTAATGTGACTCAAGGGAAATATATTGGCGCCCGGAAGTCTGGCGGACCGAATACCATATGATAGATTATTCCCCGGCGCGGGCGGACAGTTTTTGATCGCATCAGAAGAGGAGAAAATGCTAAAAAAAACGAATCTTGTATATTTTCCCATGATTCATCAAAACTATTTGATTTTAAGCTCAAATAAATCGGAACAAAGGAATGATTGATGATCTGGATCTCGGATCATAAGCATGAAGTGATTCAGAAGTCCGCGGATCGGTTAATTAATTGGGAAGGCTCTAGAACATTAGTAATGATGCGGCTTCACAAAAAGGGGTCAATTAGAGAACAGTCTAGAAAGTTCCTTTATAGCCGAGTCATTTCTAAAGATAACCGTTCGTAATTAAGGCGGTGTAGAGCATAGCTTCAGCACTACAAGATCCCGCTAAGATCGGCCCAAAAGACAAAGAAATGAATTACTTATTGCTGAGTCATGTCCTAAGTCCATTATTAAGCTTACACAGCCCAAGCCCCTATATCATTCTAGAACTATCTATAATACAAATGTAGCACATGTAACTAGTGCGAGGCGTGGGAGTAGAGAGGCCTCTGAAAAGCATAAAAGGCCGCCGCTTCTGCCCCCTCTCAAACCTCAGGTAGAAATAAAAGTTTAATTCTCCTCACCAGTGGTTGGTTCATTTGCTCCAAAAGATAAAAGCAAATATTAGTTGTTAGCTAATATAAAACTAACACGTCACTCTAAGCGTGAGTTAGGGTCAGTTAGACACAGCTGAACAAAAGTGTCATAGTGAGAATTAGTGAGAATTTAGTGGAGGGACTTCTTAATTGAATAATCTCTCAGCAATACTTGGTTATCACACCACAGGAGAAAAGTGAGCGATCCTGAACCTGCTGGATAACTAGCATGCACTCTAAGCGATAGAAAGAGCAGTTTGGTCACTCCTGTATTGAGTAACATTTATTGCGGAATTATTTTATTAGTAGTTTTCCTTCAGTAAATTATCAGGAAAATCACTGTCATATCCGTGCATACCCGACCCCGAACCCAACCTGACTTCTGGACCTCCACCCTCTTCACCTCCGGAGTCATAACCTACCGTTGCCGTTCCGATACTCACCTTCGGTCCTGGCAAACACACCTCCCCCTTACCTCTCCGACCCTATCTCCGTCCGCTCCGATATTCATCCCGGACCGAACGTCGCCCCACTCACCACCCTCCTACTACTCCGCTCCCCCTTCACAACACCTCCACCCTCCCGCCACCCTCCTACGCTTCCCCCATCCGCTCTGATACTCACCTTCGGACCTGACTACTCTCCTTTCCGCCACTCCTTCTCCCCTTACCTGTCCCCTCTCTCCTCCCTCCGTTACTCCTCCGCCACCCTTCCGCCAAGTTACGACCTTCCACCGCTGTCCCGTACTTCGCACTCGGACACCGCTCGTACCTTACTCCGAGCCTCCATCATAGTCCCTACCTCGGACTTTGACTCCACCTCGGCCTTAGTCCATTGCATTGGTGACCTCATACTACGTAAACACCATTGCCAATATTCCTCGGACTTCCAACCCCGCCTCCGTAACCTCCGTAAGCTCCGCAACCCCCGAGCTTCGCGGACCGCCTTCGGCACTCTCGCCGCCTGTAATGTATTTCTCGCATTTTCCCTTCATCCCTATTTGGACTACTGCTTCTTTCTATTCTAGCCAGTTAGTCATCATCCCCACTTCCCCTCATCCTCCTGCCCCTCTGGGCCTCGCCCTCTCTACCTCCTTTCGGACGTATCACAGGTCTTGCCCTATGACCTTCGGTACCGCTCCGCCCCCTCTACCCTTTGTTCCCATTCGGACGTCTTCGTTCCGATTCGGTCACCCTTTGTTCTCTTTGTGCTTTTGCCCCTTCCATTATATATATCGGCACTTGTACATACTCGTTTTGGTTTTAGTCCGAAATCAACATGAATTCCCCCAAGAGACTTTCCCTCTGCTAGATCCGAAATTAGGGACCCCTAGGACAACCAGCAATGGCACAGCGCTCCACCTGAGTCGCTGAGGCCAAGGTCCTTCCATGATAAGTCTCCGATTCCATTCCGGAGTCGTCCGAATCCGCACGTTCTAACAATCACGTCCTACTGAAAAGTGGTATATCTAGGTGTAATATTGACTAGAAATCATAGTAAAGTCAATATAAAATTTTATCCATAGACGATCTATATGTCAGGTGAGATCGTTGGGGGGTGTTTATTGTTGTTTAGACAGTGAACAATCATATATTTGGCAACCAAAACATGGTCAGTACGCAAATCAGCACAAACTCTAATATCGTTATTGGACGTAGGAAACTGGTTACATAAGGTGATCCAGCTCCGCTCCTTCAGCGGACCAGATGAAGAGTGATCACAAGAATCGAGGTGGTCCCTCCATTGGAGCATTCCTATCAACGGGCATATACCGCCTTGGTGGAAGGGCAGGAAGCGGAATTTGCAGTTGCTTACACCGAGTTTTGTACCCTGTCCGACTCAGATCCTGCGGACGTACTAGATGTAGAGAGCCCCGAAGAGATGCCTGATGCCTACCTTGTTGCATGTGCTTGGGGTGAAATTCCCTGTGAGGAGAAACTCATTGGTGCGACCAGGACCGTGGGTGAAATATATGAGGCACGCAAGTTGTTCGGTCGTCCCCCAGGTCAGCAGTCCTTGGGATCTGATGCATGTAGAGTGCGATGTCGCATGAATGCCATCAATGGCCACAAGGTCAAGGCGTTGGCAGATTCTGGAGCCACCGGCACGCTGATGTCCGCTGAATTATTTGATCGCATTAAAAGCGAAGGATCCAGACTCCGGCAAGGGATGAAGCTGAATTTGGTCCAACTGACTGGAAAGGCCAAATGTCAGGGTTGCACGGTCATGGACCTTTATCTACCATCACAGCTGGGGCGGACAGTAGTCCACCAGTCCGCAAGTTTGCCCTTAAACCTCTTGGGCAGGACTCCCACCATTTGTTGGGTGAAGGCCACCGAGTGTCTTGCTAAGTTTCGACAGATACTGCACCAGGTTATATAGCTGTCAATCGAGCCATTGAACTCAGGGAAATCTGACATAGTGTACTTACGATCGACATAAGGTTGTGTCTGGTCGAATGGGAGGTATGGCCTGATTCCTGGCATTTGGTGAGGAATTACAGTGCCCGGCCCTGGAGGTGGTGGAGGTGGAGGCACTCCTGCCTGACCTCCTGGTGCAGGTGGTGGCAGTGGCGGTGGCGCACCTGCTTGTCCTCCTAGCATAGGCGGTGGCGGTGGCGGTGGCGCACCTGCTTGACCTCCTGACAGAGGCGGCAGATAGTTGTGTGGAGGTGGCCCACCCTGGGCTAGAGGTGGGTCTGGAGGAGCAGGCGGCTGTGGTGGTTTGTCACCTCGGCGATATTGTGGCAGCGGTTGGGGTCCAGATCTAACTGGCTCCATACCGAGGTTTATAGGAGCGAGAGGATCTTGAAACAAGGGGTGGGCGAGACCCATATTGGGCCCAGGTCTGTTCCTATCGTTCTGATGCCTCTCGTCGGCGGGACCCACCTCGGTCTTTCTGCCCTTGAGGCCTTGAACAAACTCTGCATAGTCCAGGTCTTTCTTGGGATCATGGAGCGTATAGGATTCATGTGGACGGTCCGTTATTGGTACGGTCCCTTCATCCCTTCGTAACATCGCTGCAGCGATGTTTATGCTGGGCTGGGGAACAGGGAGCTCTATTGGCAGCTGCTGGCGTTGATGTATGAAGGTGACTTCATCGACTGCTGGTTTGCGCTGACTGTTTAATTCCCAACCCAACGTCTCGCAGGTCGACTCACGGGTAGGCCTAATCTCTGTGGACCATGCCCTTTCGACCGATTCCGGGTCAGTGAAAGTGGTGTGTGGCACACTGGCCAGCCTGAAACTGCCGAGCCTCGATTCATCAAACTCTCGTGAAGGGTCGACAGCCCTTTTTATGGAATCGAAGTGCTTCTCGAAGGTGTTGTACATACCCTGACTTAGCCCAGACCCGGACCCGCATCCGGACCCGCTCCACTTCCCATGCACTTCCTGCGCTGCATGCTCCGCACGCCACATGCTCTGCACGCCGCATGATCCGACCCCGGATCCCACCTCATGTGACTTCCGGGTATCCCCGGAAGTTTTCGCCATGTTGGGCCACTGTGGGAAAGTGAGAAGTTAACCTTCTTCTCACTTTCTTACCCACAGTAGCTATGCCCTGAGATGGGCTGTGTTTACAGGCCAGACTGTGGACTGTAGAGAGGGGTCATGGGGACCCGGGGTCCATCCCCTGACAGGCGTTGAGCCGTTGGTCAAGGAAGTGCCATACGATATCGAATTCCTTCTGTGATGCCCAGCCCTTCTCAGCCAGCATGAGTGTGAAATCACCACACGGGTCTATGACAAATTCGGCTGCGGTGAATTTGGTGGCAGCAGCCAGACGTGTGAACGCTGAAATCTTCAAGAACATATCAGTCAATCCTAGTTGATCTAGGGGCGTGAGCTGGTATCGCAGTGTTGGCTTAGCACCGTCATTGGGGACGAGTTCTCTTTCGAGCCGGGCTGGCATGATTCTCCTCCAATTACGGATTTTGGTCATAGGGGCATCAGGATCGTTGAAAACTCCACCCTCGAACTCTCTGATGGCCTCTATGATGAGTGTGAGATCTCGTCGCCTCCAAATGGCTTCAGGCAAGGTTCGCACATCACCCCATGGGGAAGATGTTGCTGCAGAGTCGGGTACCTGGTAGGAGAGGGTGTCTTGTGTGGATGATGCCAGGGTATCATGGTTGTGCGTCGATTGAGCTGGCGTCGTTAGTGGCATGGTGCGATCTAGTCGCACCGGGGTTGGGGCACCACTGTTAAAGAAATGGGTTAAGGGCAACCCACTTCTTTCCATCCTTATAGACGACTTAGAATCCTCCACTTCATGTATGTAGGGCGGTTTAGTCGTGTAATTAGAATTGTCCAATGGCCATGGAGCTTTTGACAGAAAGCTGAGACCTCGCAGTGAATGGGAGTCTGTTACGATGGATACTTGGCGCTTGTTACGTGAGCGTACTGTGCGCAGGTATATAGGATCACAGGTTGAGAGAATGTCCAGAGTGGGACTAGTCAAGGACATAAGGCTAGCAGGTACTTGGCGCTCGAGGGAGCATACTGGTAGCGAGTGAGATAACGACTCCTTGAGGGAGCTTCCTGAGAATTGGTTGACGGGTACTTGGCACCCAATTGGGTGTACCGGCAACGAGTGATGTTCCAGCTCTTTGAGGGAGCTGCCAGAGGCTGGGTTGACAGATACTTGGCGCCCAGATGGGCGTACCGGCAATGAGGTATGAGACCGTTCATCTGGCTGATGGTCTGTATATGTGTCAACGGGTACTTGGCGCTTGTAAGAGTGTACCAGTGACAGAGGAGTTAGTTGATTGTAGGTTGAACGACACATGGTGGGTTCGACGGCTACTTGGCGCTTGCGAGAGCGTACCAGCGATGAAGGGAATGGGCTTGTATCGAATACCCATCTGTCCGTAGAATTAACCAGATGCTCACCGTAAGGTGAGACAGACGTGAGCCCAGTACCTGGGCGAACGACGTGAGTCGTAACAAAAGGTGATCGCGCATACCTGAGTTGAGTCACGTGCAAACTCGATGATCCGTGGCTAGAGTCGTCAACCTCAGCAGGGATGACCCATATAGATGGTGACCGAGACATACACAATCTTACACAGACGATACAGTGTTGGCACAAGGAGGTTTACAGTTGTTGCACAGAAGAGGATGGGGTGTTATTCGTTAGGTTTCATCTTTTCGGGTGTTGCCATACATAAATGTGACGCTAACTATTGAATAAGAAATGATCACGAGAAATCTTGCGAAATAGAATAAATATTCCGGCCAGCACCAAAACCCGATAAGGGAAGCTTAGCATGGAGTGAACGTGTAAGAAAGGGGGGAAGCGGGGAGAAGGTAACAAAGAGAAGGGAGGATATGGAGAAGGAGGGCCCGCCATGGTGGACGTTCGGTGGACACGGTCACAAGAGACTCCATTCCTATAACACTATACTACTTACCTGAAGTGGAAAGTTGAGAAGAAGGCTACTTCTTTGGTTCCCACTTCAGGTTCGTTTATATACATGCGGCTTAGATCACATGACAAGTGCCATGTCACCCTCGCACACAGCCGTAACCACCCGGGTGTCTCCGTGGGAGATCCCGAGGCCATCCAGTGCATGCACGCATGCTGGGCACAGCAGGAAGTCGCCCGAGGTGCCTGGGCCAGGTACATGGTGGGCACGCAGCAGATGGGTCAATGGTACATTGATACAAAGAAGGTTGTCCATGTAGAATAAAGAGAGAATAAAGAAGAAGTAAGATAGATAGAAAGTGAGGAAGGGAGAATGAGGAGATTAGAAGGGGAAGGGGGAGGAGGTGAGGAAGGGTGGACAGCAGGGTACCGGGTCAGGTTGGGCCGGGTGGAGCCGGGTCAGGCGGGTGTGCCCTGACAGGCATGCAGAGATGCTTCAGCATCTTTGCCTCTCTGAAAGACACAGAGAGAGAAGTCAACCTCCAGAAGAGGGAGATCGAGTTGTTAAAACGCGAGCTTGAAGAGGCACGTGCACTGGCAGACCTCGCTGCCAAACCCATTATGATGGGGGCCTCCCAGGTCAGGGGGAGGGGATACGGTTCCGGGCCTCATGAGGCGCAACCCCATATGGGGACTAGCGCACCAAGGGGTGGGGCACCGACTATCCTGCCACCCCATGGGCAGGCGACCCTGTCCAGGTTGCATAAGGGCCTGCCCTCAGGAGGGCAAACCCATGTCGAGGGGAGATGGGAAGACGGTAGGCAGCCAATGACAGACCCCCAGAAGGGGACCACTACCAGAGGCAGCGGGCCGCCAAGTACCATGACACCCTATGGGCAAGCCACCCTACAGGGAAGTGTCCACATGCTTTTCGAGATGGCCAAAGCCAACAAATTCTCGGCCCAACCCAAGCTGAGAGCAAGCTATCACCCCCGTTGATAGTGGACAACACAAGCCAACTCCGAAAGGAGTTGGATGAGACAGAATCCCTCATGAAAGGGAAGCGAGAGAGCGAGACAAGCTCCTCACTCAGGCCATCCAAATAGAGACGACCTGATTACTCAGAGGTGCCAAGAAATGCCTATGAGAACCATGCCACCCAGAGGCAGGAGTACAAGATTCGCATAGAAGTGTGAAGGATTACCTCTCTCCAAAATGAAGAGAAACCGATTTCCAGAAATCGAGGAACTTGAATGTGAGCCTGAGCTCACTTGCGCATGGGCAGAATCCCACTGCCAAGTCCACCATGATGGGGCCTCCCAGGTTAGGGGGAGGAGATGTGATATTGGGTCTCAGAAAGTGTAACCCAGACAGGGACTAACACGACTGGGATGGGATACCACCATTCTCACTACCCTGTGGGTAGGTGACCCTGTCTGGACTGCAGAGTGGTGCTCCAACAAGAGCACAGACCCAGGTTGAGGGGAGGAAGGAAGGCAGTAGGCAGCCAATAGCAAACCCCAGGCTGGGACCACTGCTAGAGGCAGTGGGCTGTCAAGTACTTCGACACCCTATGGGCAAGTAACCTTGGTGGGAGGCATCCAATGCAACAGGGAACCGTTCAACCGAGATAAGATAGATCTCGGTCCAAAAATTCTCATGAACACTGGGGAACACAGCATGGGAGCTGTGGCAAGAGGCAACAGCCTCCAAACAGCACCGGAACAAAGTTCCGGGGACTCATGCTGGCCATGAAGTCGAACAATCATTTGCTCCCAAACCAGGAGCAACTAGTACTCTGTCAAGCTCCGCATTTGGCAAGGTGGCTCTAACCACAGAAAACCATCCAGCTAAACAGCCAGATGAACAAACGAAAAATCCAGAGCACAAATTTCTCTGGTAAAGTGGAACCACTCCACTCTTGCAAAAATGCAAGAACTCGCACACAAAACAGCATGCAAAGCACTGTAAACAATATTTTACAGACCTAAATTATCAATTTGAGGAGAAAACACAGGCCAAAGATGCAAAACATCTTTGGAGAATTTCCCATTGGGAAACCCAATATTTTAAGGACTTCATATATACCTATCCCTATGTATAACACTGCCCACTTTAAAGACATTCACTCCTTTTCCTTTTTTTTCTTTTTATAACTTGATGTACAATGTTGCCCACTTTAAAGTGGCAAACACATTCCTTATTCATTATTCCTTTTAAGCTTAAAATTTCCTTTTCTTTTTATCTTGTATGCGTCACAACTGTCATATCCCAGAATCCCGACCCCGCGCACTCCCACCACATCACACCTTCCTAACAACTTCACCATCCCCTACACCATGCCTCCCCACTCTCCAAGTCACCTTCCCTCCTGACTGTCTCAGCTCCGGTCTGGTTGCGGCACACCGAACCTTGGCTACTCCCATCCCGGAACCTCGGTCCCGAGTCGGAACATTCGGAGACCCCGGATTTGCTCCGATATCCTGACGGACCTCCGACATCCCGTGACATGCCCTTAAACCATTCCTTCACCCACTTCATTTATTGGAGTCACCCAACATCCTTCGGATACGCAACTCCGCTTTCGGAGCTAACCGCATCCTTCGGTGATCTCCTTCACGCTATCACTTATTAGTCATCTTCCATTCTTAGCATGACTACCTTCTTACTACCATTCAGTTGGCTAACCCCCTTTACCCATTTGTCTTCCCCATTCATTTTCCGGCCTCCAACTCCGCCCTCCTTGGCCTGACACCTCGGTTCCCCGTTTTAGATATCGTCCGGAACCTTTCGGTACCTCTCGGTATCATTCGGTACCTTTCGGTGTTTTCCCCGTTTTGTCATTTCGGGCTTTGACTAAAGTCCTCCCCATCCTCCTTTATAAATACACGTAGATTAGAACCTGTAGTTCCTCAGTTCTAATCTCGACTAAAATGCCACCCAAAGTCCCTCTGAGTGATTCCTGTCCCTGTTCTACAAGACACCTCAGACATAAGAAATACAAGGACTAACTGAGACATAACAGAGGCACAGCACTCCCTCCGAGTCGCTGAGGCCGCATCCTTCTTAGAGCCTCTTGTACCATCCAGCAGAACTGGGCTCCCTGAGAAGCTTCGGTTCACTACCGGAGCCCTCGGACCCCCCTCTAGTTGAGCCCCGCCTGCATTCGGACTCACGCATTTACCCCCTCTCCCACAACTCGGGTTTTTAACAGCAACTGCAACGCAAGGGGGGAGAGTGTCAGGGCACAAGCCCTGGGCCCCCATTACATGTAGTCCCGTTGTAGATTAGTGTCACATGACAGGCGACAGGTTGGAACCTATCGCTTATCACCCCATAATACCCACTCCTTTGTGACACTTATGGCCTGGTGACCTGAGCGAGCCCCACAGACCTCACAATGTGACCTGGATTTGAAGCTGTTTGAATTGGAGCTCCAGATAAGTCCAGTAGTCACACCAGATACAATTTCGACAATATATACCTGTAGTTTAGAACCCATTGTACCTTAGTTCTAATCTTGACTAAACTCCCCTATGAGTGATTTGCATTCCCCTCTTACAAAATACCCCAGCCCTCTGAACCTAAGACATAACAGAGGCACAGCACTCTCTTCCAAGTCGCTGAGGCTGTGTCCTTCCCAGACTCTTGTACTAGCTGGCAGACTTGAACTTCCTGGAGAACCTTTGGTCCACTACCTGATCTCCTGGAACCCCCTAGTTGAGCCCTGTCTGCACCGGAATCGGCATGTTTGACACCAGGAGCTCCCAGAAGCTTCTCACCCCTATACACTTTGAAGCATTTAAATTGTATTTACTGGATATGTTTGTGCACAAAGCAATGCTCCATGCCCTCCTGGGAGTGCCCTGGAGTACCTGGCCAACTCTGGAGGAAATGAGCTGTTCCTGGACCAGCCAATCTCCTCCTGATTCCCCCGGTGCTCTCCATACTCCAGAGCACTCAGGAGCATGACAATATTTTGCTGATTGGCACCATCTTCATGCTGTCCATGAACCCTCCTTCCCCCCCACATACCTTTCAACCAGGGATTGCCGACACCCTTGTATTTCCAAGGATCACTGACACCAGATGATACCGACCAGACTACCCACACATCATGTATAGAAAGTCCCCTTCATGTACAGTACAGTGGGACAGCTGCACTGCCACAACACCGTGAAGCTGCGGGGTATTATGATAGATTTATCATTGTCATCACCAGGGTCATGCTACCATTTCCAGCATGCAAACACTTTGAAGGACAATTTCTGAATTCTGAAGTTTGTTGAACACAGTAATGATCATTTTGAATGTAAAAGTTGTTGGCTTAGACAGCCAATCATCATGCAGCTAGCCCCCTGATCAAGACCCCCGACTCCTGCAGCGGCCACTGCATGCCAGCTCTGCGTGTGGCCTTTATGCGCACACGTGGGTGGCGCAAAAGAACTTATCACACCACCCTTCGACGGAATCCGTGCAATTACCCGCATTGGAGAGTGGATTAGGACCAATTCGGAAACAGTCTCCATCACCTTGGTTGGTGGTCCAGTGGTTAAGGTCATAGGAAACCGTAACCGTAGTATTGCAAACATAAAACTCCAGTGGGTACCCGAGGGCTACGGGAATGGAGGCATATTTGTTTATTTCAGTTTCATTTGTATCACAAATGTCTGTTGGGTAAAACATTAGTTAAACCGGGGCGAATTTCATTTCTAACTTCAGCTCACCATACCCCGATGGGACTGCATGCCAAGATATGTTAGCCCAACCATTTCCATTGGGGGGCGACGCCTCAATCCATATTCCACCATGGAAATCAGCTGCAATGATAGGAAGTAATAGACCCATTGGGACCAAGGCATTCCAGAATCGCATCGAGACTTTTGACGCTACTATTGTGTTGGCAGGTAATGTACGTGGCCTGAGTAGCATCAAGTAGTTCTCACCTCCGTGTGGAGAGGAATGTGTAGAAAATGGAGAGACAGCCGGCAGGGCTCCTTTCAGAGGCTATATATAGCGGTATCTTTGAGGAATGAAATATTTCTTGCATAGTGGAAATCCAAGTGTTTCGCTGGTGAGTCATTGATATCGCTGATATGATGTAATCATGGAGGTATATAGAACACAGGTGCGATCAATATTGAGTTGAGTTGAGACCACCAAATGCACATATTCATTACATTGAAGGACTTATTCTCATCCGTGCCATCAGCAGCTCGGTCATCACATATAGATAGGTCTATTTTTCTTTCAAACCTTCTGAATCAAATCCCAATATTGGGGCTTCATCTTCCATCGACCATGCCAATATTTCCACGGGCAATTTGTTTCATGTCAACCGTGCGATTAGGGATGGGCAAGGCATGGCGTGGGAGTTGGCATGGCTGGCTCTATTGTTGAACAGGAACGAGGCGTGTCCGAGGGAAATTTCGTGCTAGGTGTCATATCCGTGCATACCCGACCCCGACCCGACTTCCGGACCTCCACCCTCTTCACCTCCGGAGTCATAACCTACCGCTGCCTTTCCGATACTCACCTTCGGTCTTGGCAACACACCCCTCCTCTTACCTCTCCGACCCCTTCTCCATCCATTCCGATACTCATCTCGGACCGAACATCGCCCTACTCGCCACCCTTCCTACAACTCCGCTCCCCCCTCACCACACCTCCACCCTCCCATCATCCCCTACGCTTTCTCCGTCCGTTCCGATATCCACCTTCGGACCTGACTACTCTTCCTTACCTGTCCCCTCTCTCATTCCTCCGCCACCCTTCCGCCAAGTTATGACCATCCACCGCTGTTCCGTACTTCACACTCGGACACCGTTCGTACCTTACTCCGAGCCTCCGTCATAGTCCATACCTCGGACTTTGACTCCACCTCGGTCTTAGTCCATTGCATTGGTGACCTCATACTACGTGAACACCATTGCCAATATTCCTCGGACTTCCAACCCCGCCTCCGTAACCTCCGTAAGCTCCGCAACCCCCGAGCTTCGCGGACCGCCTCCGGCACTCTCGCCGTTTGTAATGTATTTCTCGCAATTCCCCCTCATCCCTATTTGGACTACTGCTTCTTTCTATTCTAGCCAGTTAGTCATCACCCCCACTTCCCCTCATCCTCCTGCCCCTCTGGGCCTCGCCCACTCTACCTCCTTTCGGATGTATCACAGGTCTTGCCCTATGACCTTCGGTACCGCTCCGCTCCCTCTAACCCTTTGTTCCCGTTCGGACGTCTTCGTTCCGATTCGGTCACCCTTTGTTTCTCCTTGTGCTTTTGCCCCTTCCTTATATATATCGGCGCTTGTACATACTCGTCTGGTTTGAGTCCGAAATCGACCTGAAATGCCCCCAAGAGACTTCCTGCTCACCTACTGTGAAATTAAGGACCAAATGGACAAACAGCAATGGCACAGCGCTCCGCTTGAGTCGCTGAGGCCAAGGTCCCTCCACGCTAAGTCTCCGATTCCACTCCGGAGTCGTCCGTTTCCGCCCATCTCTAACACTAGGTTCCAGTGGTGTGTGAGTGAGTGAGTGGTCACCAATCACTGTTCGGCCATCGGACACCCCATTTGCAGGAGATATCAGACCCTAATGTTGAACGTTTCCCGCCCTGATCACGCCCACATGCACATCACAGTCGATATTTGTACCTTCTCATCGTATCATTAATGTACTTGATATTATGCTCAATGTTATAGATTGATGCGGTATGTCGCATACAGTGTTTATTGTAACGCCAACCATCAAGGGTATGTGCTTAGGATCTCAGAGTCATGAGGTTGCACCAGGGATGCATCTGGTTTCCATGTTAGCGTATTGTTGTCGCTTAGCGGTTGGTTTTCGGCACTGCCACTTACGGGAAGTGCGTACCCCAGTCTTATTGGGGCTGTTTGTTTGTTGCGCAGTGTCTGACTGTGTGTCATCCTGGGGCGAAGGTGCTGCCTTCTCCCCTGCCCTGCGTCCATGCCTCTAGGTAGGCGCGGAGGTTTGGCCCTTCCACAGGCCCATGCTCCTATGGAGAGGATTCTTCGCTCGGTCGTCAAGCGCAGGTACTCCCAGTATTGCGTCGTAACAGCCATACATGATGCACGGTCGATTTTTCTTTGTTCCCGTCTGGGGAATCAGTGGGTTTGGAAGTCCAAGGAGGGGAATGTGCATGGCGTGAACGAAGTCCGGAGAGATCATGTCCGTTTTCGCTTCACTGTCGAACAAAAGGCTTTTACACTGGCGATTTCTACTTCTCTGGTGAGTATGCGCCTGAGTGCCGATGGTCGATCCTCAGGGTATTTTCCAGCTTCTCACGAAATGCGAAACTTCGCATGGTTTCCCCAGGAATTGACGTCCTGGGGGCCTTGCTCTTCGCTCCCTTCCCTCTTTCGGGTCGGGGAGACTCCGTCTCTCGAAGGCTTTGAACTGGCTCTTCGACCAGTTCTGCTGCGATTTGCTCGTTGATGAACAGTTTGTTCAGTTGCCTTGCTGTGGAAGTTCTTGTCTTCGGGGTCGATGAGTGTTATGGGTCCGAAATAGGTGGGGTCTCTCCCTCCTATTCTATCGTTTCGGGTCGTGCGAATGGTGTCGTGCGGGTCTTCGACAAATTCTGTCATCGACCGGTTCTTTCTCTTGCCCTTCTAGGTTTTCTGCTGTAGACTCATGCTTCTCGGGCTTTGGATTATCGTGATTAGGGCAATCACAGATGTATCCAGGTTTCCCGCAGTTATAGCATCGCGGTATTCCTTTCCTGGGATTCAGCCCAATTTTGCATAGTTATAGCCAGTGTATAAGGGTGGAAACAAATAAGGAAACACTGCTGTGGAATAAGGACAAAATAACCATTGAGGGGCGGAAACCGCTGGCACGTGAATAGCTCAGAATGTGTCGGAAAACTGGAATTTCGTTGTAATGCGTTATGATGGTGTTACGGGATTTTGCTGTGTGTTACAAGGTGTTATGGGAATTTTTCCGGATGTGACTAGGCATTATGGGGTGTTACACAGCGGGAAGTTAATCGCAGTACGGTAAATAACACCATGCAGCCTAAGTTTTTTCTAAATCACAGTATTTTACCTATGTGATTTTCACGGTTACCTGCACTGCAGGTCACTCTTCCTCCCCCATAATTATGTAAAATGTGCCACTTTTGCTTATGTGTTGTTTACCGCTTTCTCTCATCTGACGAATAAACAATTGTCTCACTCACTGTGTCCTGAGGCAAAATATCCGAGGTGATATCCTAGGTCGGATACGAGACTTTGGCAGTATCTGTGTTAGATCCGTGTTGGGATATCCATGTCTCTTACTTGCAGGAATATCCATGGTCAGATACTTCCCAGATTTCATGTGCTGGCAAAATCCACGAAATATTTGACATGTTTGAATATCCACTGTATTAATTTTCTGGGTCAACAATAGACTCCTTCCCAGTTGCTCACATGATTTCTCCGAGGTTTAGCCACAACTTATGTTGCCTCGAAAATCTGTCAAGCAACTGGTACAACTTGCAACACGTGATGTTCCCATGCTAAGTTGTAATGAGTTGTACATGGGCTGCAGAATATGATTTTTAGTATTAACACATGTGGTTGTTGCACCCAACCCAACCCATGGAGAATAATGTCAGGGGACATCTCATGGGTCCCTGTGACCCCCCCCCCCCATGGCCCACAACCTAAAGGGACACAGCCTTGTCCAGGGCACACTGCTGTGGGTAAGAAGGTGAGAAGGAAGCTAACTTCTCACCTTCCCACAGTGGCCCAATATAATCGAAAACTTCCGGAGATATCCGGAAGTCACATGAGGCCCAAGACTGTGAGGTCTTTGGGTAGCTCAGCACACAAGGCCATAAGTGATACAAGTATGTGTATTTTACCCATGTGACTATATGTATCTAATTACATGTGGCTTGGGGTTCGGGGTTATTGCCCTGACATTCTCCCTCCTTGTGTTGCATTTGCGACGCATACAAGGTTGATAGTGAATAAAACAAAGTTTTTTTTAAGAATTGAGTTTGAAATTATCAATGAGTGTTTTGTTGTCACCACTTTAAAGTGGGTGATTTTTGTACATGTCGGTGAAGGAGAGAGAAAGGGTTTAAGGAATAAGTGAGTGTGGGCCGTCACTTTGAAGTGAACGGCAATACATGGGTATTGCAGGGAGAAAAGTAGTGGAGTTTGTCGAAAATGAATTTCGACCCAAAGGTTGTATGTCTTTGGTGTTCCTCACTTGTTCCATGAGGGTTTGTGTGTAAGTGGTGTTTACACACAAGCGGTGGTGGATGTGACACCAGGTTCACATGTAATTCCACACTTGCAGCAAATCCCACACACACAAGAACCCCAACCCCTCCCACTACCATGAGAAACAAAACCACAAGATGTTGTTCTCTGGGGGAGGTAACCCTCAATATGATCCAAACAAGCAATTGGATATTGAGATACAACAACCTGGGGAGCAAAGTGTCAGGGCACACCCACCTGACCCGGCCCCACCTGACCCGGTACCCCACTATCCACCCCTCCTCACCTCCTCCCCTTCTTCCTCTCCCTCTTCTCATTTCTGTTTCCTCATTCTCTCCCTATTTTTACTTCCTCTTTATTTTCTCTTTATTCTACATGGACAATCTTTCTTTGTATCAATGTACCATTGACCCATCTGCAGCGCACCCATGACACACCCTGCCCAGGCACCTCAGGCAACTTCCCACTGTACCCAGCGTGCATGCTCACACCAGATGCCCTCAGGATCTCCCACGGAGACACCCAGGTGGTTACAACTGTGTGCGAGGGTGACGTTGCAAGAGGGCTCATGGCTCTCTATGCCGACACAGCTCGTGGGGGACAAACTCTCCAAACTCCTACTTCCTTGACTGAACTTCACTTGACTCGATCCTTAAACTCCGTGTGGGTTCTCCGGGATTTCCGCAAGGTCCGGGCTCAGTGTCCACTACTCACTCGTTGTGAGCTAGATCACTGCCCTTATTCCTACTGTTGGAATTCCACACACTCACACCCTCTCTAGCGCATCCTAGCACCTTAGAGAAAATGGGGGAGGGGAGAACTTCTATTCCAAAATCCGGTATGTACAGGATATAAGGAACAATTATTTTTAGAAATAATAGATGGGGAATATTGATGCCATATGGCACCTGCATACCTTATTAGGCGAAATAATAAAAAGGGTAACAGTATCAATAAAAGAATATCAATCAATAACTGAAATGATGGCAAAACATGAAAATATAAGAAAATAAGCGATATCTCAATGGATTTACGGAATTATGAGCCGAAATTGGAAATGAAGCCGGAGATAACTCTCACACAGCCAATGAGCATTTTTTACCAATTTATTAGACGCCGTGGGAACGAGTGAGGCTGGAATTCTGGGTTGCCGCTTGAGATTCCCACGCCCGCACATGCCCGTGCCTAACTTGCCCAACATGGAACTCCGTCAAATCTCCACCGATTAGGACGTTCTTGGTATCGATGGGATCGTAGGAATTAGTACTATTTTTAGATACCAAATCCGTGTCGAGTCGTTGTGTGAATGGAAGGGGTTTTCTGAATGGTGGAAGCGGGTATCCAAGCCGGCTCTGCCCGTGGGCGATTATCCCGCCTACAACGTGGCATCTGTCATGTGACCCAAGCCACATGTATATAAACAAACCTGAAGTGGAAACCAAAGAAGTAGCCTTCTTCTCAACTTTCCACTTCAGTCTAAGTGGCCAGGGACTACTGTCCTGTATTGGGCTTGTCAGTACGCACACCCGATCCGCACCCTGCCAGACTCTCAGCACTGGACACTACACCCAGGCCTCCTCAACCCCAGACGAGTCCCTGACAGTGCTCTATTATATTCGTGCCTCCAATGGGTGCAATTATCACAGGCATCATCTGACACCCTTGAGTTGTGAGACCATGCCCATTTGGATGGCCTGGATGAGGAGCCGCTGTCACTCCCTTGTCTCCCTCCTACAAGGGACTTCATCTCTTTCAACTCCTGACAGAGTCGACCTGTCTGGGCAGCTACCACTGATGCAATAGCTGATTCCCAGCCTACATTTGGCTGGAGTGTTGCTGGACCTGGGCCAAAGAGGCAGCAGGCCACTGAGTACCTCAGCACCCTATGGGCAAGCTACCTTGCAGGGAAGTGTCCACATGCTATACAAGACTGCCAAACTCAACGAGTTTGGCAAAGTCAAAGCTCCCATCGACATAATAATCGACCCCAACTTCCCCATGAGGAGAACAGCAGGGTCAGAAGTGGCACTGTAGGAGAAATAACGGCCACACTATGGAAACCCATTATGGAAATATGCCAGATAAATCACAAAACCTCATACAACAAGTAGATATGAGAAAATAGAAGGACCTGAATTTTAACGAATTTTACGAATTTTTACGAATTATTATGACTATACACGATAAATCGAAAGAAAGAAAAATAGCAAAAATACTTCAAGCTTACCATCAACGAGACGGAATTCTCGGGGGAATTTATAGCAAATATTAAACCAAGAATTAGGACAATCGACCAAGATTTGACTATAAAAATAACCAGAGAACCTCCACGGAAACTACTTTCCCACGTCCGCACACGTAGCCAAGGATGGAAGTACCACGGAACAAAGATTCCTCAGGAACTAATGCAAAAGTCAAAGTTGTGTTTATAATAGCAAATGTAGATGTCCCCCAAACGGAACCAATGAGAGTAATTACAGGGGAAACTACCCATAAACGACGGAGATATGACTAAAACTCCTGCAAAACAAGGACAATGTCTAAAAGGCAAGCGCGAAGATTAACTAGTAACGACCGAGACAAGCTTGATAGCCCATTAGAAAGGAAGGGATCTAAACTTAATCCTCCCAAAGTTTTATAATAAAAGGATCATGCGTTAATGAGATATCCAATAACGGGAATAGCGACATCAAAGTCCGAGCTCAGGGAAAAGACGATGTTTGCATAGGATCCATAATTAAAACATACAACGAAATTTACACAGAAATTATTAAAAATGGGGAACTATAGTTATGCAAATTTTCAGCCCAAACGGTCCAGCCGTTGTGAAGTTATACCCATGACGGGAATATAGAAATCCGCATCATGTGTAATGACACGTGAGGGTGGCGATGCGCAGGGAACCGGCCGTCGGAACCGAGATCCGCACTTCGGCAGATCGCGAAGACCAATTTCCATCCAAATAAGGAAGAGCCCGGTCAAAACAAAGCACGGAAAGTGCAAAACAACCTTAGATCATGAGGGAAAAATCTGAAATAAATCACAGAAGCCCATATAAAAGAAATAAACACCTGCACATATCATAAATCCCGAACAATGAAACGAAAACGGCTCCCACATACGAACGACTATGGGAACGATGCACGTGATTACCGAATGTGCGCGCGAATCTTTGCTAACTCAACGAATACCAGGAAATAGGACACAGCCTTAGTACCATTGGAAAGGTGGGAATAAATAAAAATTTATGATACCAAGAACGTGAGAAAACATCCAGAAATGAATGAGATACAAGGACATGAAGTTAGAAACCTGAAAACGCATGGGAAGACAGCTTCAAGAGGTCCAGAGACCTAAGTAAAATAGATAAAAATATGATATCTTCAAGGGCAACCTACTATAACAACCAACAATACATATGGAGGATTAGGATGTGATAATACAAAGGGGAATCAGGGAATATGAACGAAATTCACGAAAACCACTAAACTACGACGGACCATGGTGGGAATTTTAGGGAACGATGTTCTAATGAAGTGGAGAGCTATAACACATTCATTTGAGTAATTCTTGACTACTAGCAACTTTTTCTTT